GGGTACTCGGACCTTTTGGGTATGATGTATACCCTCTAAACCTCTAAACCCTTATCCCCTGCGTCCTGAACCCTTAAACCGTAAACCCTAGCTCCATGAGCCCGAAGCACTAAAGGCCCTTTTGCAAGGAGTGGCAGCTGGCCTTGCACGTGCTGGACGTCATTCGGATGAGAAGACCTTTGGCGTATCGGAGGGGTTTAGGGACTATGGAACTAAAGACCATCCGTATCAGGGTTTTAGGGACCTAATCCCATAATGGTACTATAAACAGACTGAGCCTTATACCCTAAACCCTATAGAACCCTCGAAGGAACCCTTATTAAAGGAACCCATAGTAATAGTGGTCCTCTATATGGAGCCTCTAGGGAGAGGATCTTATCACGGCTTTGTGTTGAGAGAGCTTGAGTTGTCTGCTATCGCTATATACGGGAAGGATCCCTTGAAGAAGCGCTATAAAGCTCAAACCCTTAAAGGACCGCTTCCCTAAGGGTCCATGTGCCTAAGTAGTATATACACTTTGGCCCCAAAGCACCTAGAATAGGGACTGCTTGAAGGCCGACGTAGATACTAATTGGATACATCGACCCTTGAACACTTAAACCTATAGAATCCTTATAGTACCCTCATAGTAGACCCTTGTAGGAACCAATATTTGGGTACATGGACCCTTACTTGAAGGCTCATGGGACTTAGCAAGTAAGGTTATAAGTAGGTTATAATTAGGATAACCCCAGTTAGGGGACTTATAACCCCAATTATAACCTACTTACTAAGTCCCATGATCCTCTAAGTAGGGTAAGGGGATGAACAGCAGCCTCGGGGTTAGTACCCTAAATAATTAGGGTTTAGGGTTTAGGGTTTAGGGGTTTAGTGTTTTAGGGGTTTAGGGGTTTAGGGGTTCAGGGTTTAGGGTTTAGGATTTAGGCTTTAGGGTTTAGGGATTTAGGGGTTTAGGGTTTAGGGTTTATAAATCGTAGGCTCCTTATGATAAGGACCACACATCCGCCGAGGACTCGTGCCACAGGATGTGACTTATGGCGCAGCGATCAGCCCCGTGGACAAGTCTAAACATGCAAATGCCAGGTTACCCATTATATTTACATGTATTGTACATATACACACACGCACAAATAAATGAACACACATACATACATACATACATACATATACATATACATATACATATACATATACATATACATATACATATACATATACATATACATATACATATACATATACATACATACATACACATACATACATACATATACATACATACATACATACATGTACACCTGCTTGAAGGTGCAAATTCTTCCTATAGTGGCAACCATGGATTCCTCACGAATGAGTACTAACTTACGCTTACAAGCACCGTAACACTTACCCATGACCTCCATTTGCAGTTCCGCCATCTTTATTATGGTTTCGGTGACCTGTACTATACATGGTGTCTCTGCGTTCTATCAAGTTCTATCCCCCTGTCTCATACCATCATCCGCAAGACCGAAAACCCTGATGGATTAATTAAGACCCTGGATTGGTTAGAACTTGGCCTCAGCTGAGATTTCAGGTGCATGTGAGAAGGGCGGCCAATGGCAACGAGCGCTGGCAGTGCTCCAGGAGCTTGCTCGACGGTTTGAGCTTTTTTAAGGTTTTGGACCCAGGATTTGCGGGTTTAGGTTAGTTTAAGCCCAACAAACACAACTGCTAAACCCTACACCCTTCATATCTAGACCCCCCAACTACCCTCCAACATACCCCCTCAAAAAACCCACTATTAAGGGGCCATAAGGACTCTGTTAAAGGGGTGTCTCCTGCCTCACACAATCGCTCGACTGCTGAATCGGAGGGGCCTACAAGGACCCCCCAAAAGGACCGTTTTATACTTGGAGGGTCGGGGGACTTAGTAAGTAGGTAGTAAGTAGACTTATAAGTACCCTAAAAGGGACCCTAATTGGGGTTATGGTACTTATAAGTCCTTAAAAGAACCAGTTACTAAGTCCCCCGACCCTCCAAGTAGACCCCTCATGGCCCTGAAGAGTCGGTATTTGGGGTAAAAAAGAGGGTACTTGGGGTCTACCTATAGTCTCCATTGTAGTTCCTTTTTGGGGTTACCTTTTAGGATCCCAAATATAGAATTGGTTAAACCAAAAAAGGAACTACAATGGAGACTATAGGTAGGTAGCCGAGGGGCTTGGAGGTTTAGGGGTTCTGTATTGTAGTATCCTTAAGGGACGGGGGTCCAAGGTGGGTATATAGCCTAGTGATCCCTAATTCTCCCTAGTAGTCCTTAAGGTTCCCTTACAGTCCCCTAAGGATTCCTTATACCCTCCCCCCTTGAACCACCCTCCCTTAAGGATCCTATAACTGTAGGGTCGAAGGCAGGGGTCCTTGTCTGAGGGCTTCAGGGTGTAGGGTTTAGGATTTCTACGGACAGTCCCTTTCCTAAGCCTAGGTTTTTGAAAAACCAAAAAACCTTTACAACAAAAAAATCCTACGCCCATTTCGATGATTTTCGAAAAAAGAGCCTGCACACCATCAGCCCTGAGGAGATGCTTGCCAGCGACTCGCAGCCGAGCCTGCTTCTTGGGTGATATAGATTCCCGCTCAGAGATCCCAATACCCCATAGTTAAGGAATAACCCTTAAACCACAAGGTTAGTGCCCCTAAAGTTTTCGGTGTATTCCCTAGTTGAAGGTAGAAACCCGAGTATCCACCGACACTCGTCCTAGGAGTCCCATTGCAAATCTAGTAGAACATAACGCAAGAGCAGCCAAAGGTTTTAGTTCTAGTCGAATGTAGTCCACAATCTGTTCTAGTTGCAGGCCTTAAGTGTGCTGTAGAAACCTGATGTGATTGCACCTTGCATAGACCGTCTTATTCAATGGAGCCCCATTTGTATTATCATGGGCCCCCATACATGCTTCGCGATGTGGGATCCAGACCTAAGACCCCTCAATCAAGCGCTTAGGCCTTAGGGTTTAGATGGTATTGGGCTGAAGGCCTAAGGGTTCAGGCTTCAGGGTATACGGTTTAGGGTTTAGGGAATACCAGAGCCCTGAATAAGCTACCTTTTGACGGCTACTTGTTGACGGTTGTCTTGTATAGAAACCTTGAAACGGTAGGTTTCTCGAAGTCCAGACAAACCCTATATAACGCATCACGAACTTTTTTGCAAAATGTTACGATGAAAACCAGAAGTCTGGGTTCAAATGTTTATCTCGGTGTATACATCTTTGCCAGTGTTCTTATGCCATAGTTCGGGGCTGAAAATGTTGGTATCGGTAGTTACACGTAAAAGTGTATGCTATACTATGTACCGAGATCTCTCTCTCTCTCTCTGTACATATACATATATATATATATATACACACATACATATACATATACATATACATATACATATACATATACATTTACATATACATATACATATAATATACATACCTGGGGCCCCGAAAGTGAGGTAAATTTCTGGTCGGACCGTAATCGGGCGTATTTGTGCGTAGGTCAACCCACCCGGGCGTAAATGTCCGTAATGCTGTTTTCTGTGCCTTATTGTTACATGCCATGTATCCTCCAAATCTCCGGTTCTCCAAATGATATTGGTCAATTTTAAATCCCCTATATAAAGCCCGAAACTCCTGCTTCCTTACCTTGAACCCAGATCCCAATCCTGATGAACACTCGTGACTCTAAATCCGACACCCCGTGACCCTATCGTTAAGTAAAAACCCCTGCGTTTCCCTCTCGATCCGAGGACCAAAGCAGACCCGGGAAATTCAAAGCAGACCGGGAATTATATAGGGGACTGAGTAAGTACATAAGGGCCCTATAAATGGATCTACCCCAAGTATAACCCTAAATTATCCGACTTACTACGTCTCTCTCTGTTAGAGTGCCCCGAACAGTATCTCCGAAGTTCTTCTTCAAGGAAAGCACCAAAATCCAACGCAAAACCTCCCATACCCTCGTAGGGCCTTGATCGGGGGAGGTTCTTTATAATAGGAGTACTATAGGGTTCTTTATAATACTGTTGATGATATAAATCCTGCATTACTCATAATAAGGAATATGCCATAATTCCCATAGTCTATGGTCCTTAAGGTAATGCAGGATTTATATCATCAACCGTAGGATTACTGTATAGGGCTTGCTTGTAGGTTCGGGGTTTAGCTTTCCTTCAATACCCACTGCCAGGCACATCGGCATTTGGCTCCTCGTCGTCTTCGAAAGATAATTAAGATAGGGAGAATATAGTAGGCGAATTATATTGAATTATATAAAGGATTGGGCAAAGCTGCCAAAGCTCGTCCAATAGCATGGGAATTCTTGTGGGATTTAGGGCGGATGTTTGTAAGCTTTTACAACGGGGTCCTACGCAAATGCCGCGGTTGGTCCAGCCTTGCGGAGTGCCCACGCAACTCCAAATCCCAATTCCCGTAAGCCTGTATAACCCCAATTATAACCGTGATAGAAACCCTTGCTTCCCTGCAAACCAGACCTGGAAGCTTCCGGTGCCTCGATCGGGGTTTTGGGATTTTTAGCATGTATACTAGAGTTTGCATGCGCCTAATTAACAATGGTTGCAATGGATGCTGCTTCGTCTCTGATGGTATGTGTGGGCCTGGCTGGAATTTCTGATTGTAATATATGAAGGTGCTCATATCTTTCCTTCCCCCGCCAGGTTCGGCCAATGAATGGCATTGCTGATTGAGCATGTGAGCCTGACTGAAATTATCACATACAACGCCTGCGAAGCTGGTGCTCTTTTGCCCTCTCCGGCCAGGTCCCAGCAATCAGAAGCGCCGGCATGGACACGTGAAGCGGTGCGCCTGCAGACAGTGCTTTGTGCAATTTGGTCGTTTCTGCAGGGATTTGAATTGCTGCTTTTCGCATTCGCGTCTTTATCTAGCATTTTGCTTGCAAGGATTCCGACTGGAGGTAGCCTTAGGGTGGCCATGGCTAGCAATAGCAACTTTGATGCTAGAGATATGAAGTGGGTGGACGAACTTCCAGAAAAGTGGGAGATGATTCGGGCATTTCGGCGGCGGAGCCAGGAGGGCCGGTCGCTCGCACGGGGCTTGCATCAGCCGGGACATGGCGACAATGAGGTCGTTACTGCTTCGCTAGATTGCGCCAAACTCAACTCAGAGCTCCTACTTATCACGCTCAAGCTGATGGCCGACCACGCTTGTATTTTCGTCCCCCCGGTTTATCTTCTACAGGGTGCGTGTCTGGAATTCCACTCGAACTGCGGGTTTCCTGATGCATCGGCACTTGCAGTTGCTGGAAGTTCGGATGGTTGGGCCATCAAACGGCTACTTAACGTCCTGAAGCGCAAGTGGAATCGCCCAGAGACCCCTCGAGAATCTTGCCCTGATCTTGCCGAACACAAACCCTATATGAACCCTATCCAATATCGAAACTATATAGACGACTAGATTTTGGTGTTTTGTAATATTAAGGTAGTCAAAAAAAAGCCGGAATACTTCAATCCCAGGATGTGACCATTCGTTCTCTGATTGATGAGTTCCAGCGAGCTTATGTCAACCTGGAGACGGTGCCTCAATCAAATATTTTGCGGCCTGATAAGGGTTTATTTCGGTAGCCGGGACTATATAAATCCTTGGAGACCGCCTTCTACATAGTGTAGCACACGACCGAATACCGTACTCACCTGTTTAACTGTAAGGCAGTGGGCCCTCGTCTTGCAAAGCTTCTTCGAGAGAGAGCTGCAGAGACTGATGACCCCGGTGAGTTGTCAACTCTTGTGGATGCTGCCTCGGAAAACCCTCCGATCGACGAGGGTGTGGAGGTGGCAGCTGGCCATGGAGAAGATTCCGACGATGCCGGGTATGAAACCTCCGGCGATGAGGCTGAAGCCTCGAGCGATGATGGGGAAAACTCTGCCGTGGATGAAGCCTCCGGCGATGATGGGGTAAGCCTTGAGATTGATTCAGGCGATGGGGAAAACCCTGCCGTGGACGATGCCACGGGCAAGGATGTGGGTATGGCCGCGCCCGTAAATGGCGATGTGACACCGACGGAGGCGGATGAAGATGTGCATCAGCCTCCGCTTGCAGGTCCTGATCATGAGCCAAGGCCAGGGAACGCTTCAGATCGACTTTCGCAGCAGCTACGTCTGGCAGAGTTGAAGCTCGAGGCCAAGCGCTTGTGACTTTGACATTGGACAATTATGTTTTTGTGGACTTCTATTTGCATAGAATTGAAACCAATCTTGCAGGATTCGTGTGTGTCTATGCACATTTGTACTACGTAGGATGGACATGGAGCGAAAGCACACTGCAAAGCAGTTGCAGCTTCAGCTGGATTCTGAAGGACTCCAAATGAATAATCTTAGGAATTGCAGATCCATTGTGCCTTGATTGCTACCGACGGGTGTCAGGACCTATCGCTGTTTCGGATGGGGAGGGAGATCTTCCCCGAGATCTCTCGGGGCCCGCGACTACCAGTGCGGCTCCCGATTTCACGGAAACCCAGGCTTATGCGGTGGACACGCAGATGCTGCAGGACATGCTTGGAGGGCTCGATCAGGAGGTGCCATCGCCAGGCCAACCCTTGGCTGCGGGGAGACTTCCGAGCACTGCTGTGCTGCCGGGATCCGTTGACCCGGCCTGTGAGACCAGTCCCGATCCGAAAGAGACGGCCGCCAGCGTGGATTCGCCGAGCGAGGCTTTGGAGACGCCCAGCCCGAAAAACCTCGCTCCGCCTGAGATCTCCCCTATGAAGACTTGCATCACCCGGGACTCCCAGCTGAGGGCGAAGAGCACTAAGGTGGCTGAGAATGCGGAGAAACCAGGACGAGGGCGAGGAGCTGGTAGAGGACGTGGAAGGGGCGGTGGCCGCCCGAAGAAGGATGCCGAGCCTGAGCCTGTGGCTGAGACCTCCAAGCCAAAGAAGGGTGGACGCCCCAAGAAGAATCCTGTGGCTGAGAGCTCCAAGCCAAAGGTTGGACGCCCCAAGAAGAATCCTGTGGCTGAGCCTGTGGATGAGAGCGCCAAGCCTAAGGGTGGACGCCCCAAGAAGCCAGTCACGGAGACGGTCGAGGAGGCAGGGGGCGGCTTGGAAAAGGTTCCGGACATTCCCCTCGATGTCGTCACCAAGGGCAAGAAGCTACGCCGAAAGAAGGTCTCCAAGCGTCGTCGTGCCATCCACGACGATGCCGCCGTCGTCGAGAAGGACATCAAGGAGGCCAAGATTGGGGGCACGACCGACGGGCCGGTCGTCGACATCCCGAAGGCTAAGAAGGCCAAGAGTGTGGACCCGAGCAAGGCCGAGCTTGTCGCGCCAACAACACGCTGCACGGGGAAGCGCAAGGTTGCGGAGACTACACCTGCGGCGAAGTGCAGACCTGGTTCCGGCTTGCAGATTCGCAGATCGACGCCTAAGGAGGAGCAGTGGCCAAACGTTTTCGCCCGGCGCTACCGTCCGAGCAAGGACTCTTGGATGCAGCGTTTGTGGGACGGAAGTGTTCGTGCCTTCTACAGCATCATCGCGCCCGAGATGGGGCCGGGCCAAAAGACCCGGTTGGAGGCTTGCGTGTATATAGTTTATATAAACGAGTTAATGATATTTAATATAGGGTTTGGGCTGGTTTAGGGTGTAAAGGGTTGCAGGTAGCCCCTATAAAATGGCAAAGGTTACGTTGCCAATGGTCGGCCCTGGAAAGACCAGATCCCATAAGCCCTAGCAGATGCACTGGCTAGAAATAGAAATCAGAGCGATGTCCAGGTCGGTCAAGTCGTTTCGGGGCATGTTGCCGATAAAGCGCAGAAGCGTGATTGAGCCGAACGAACCTGGCGAACCCCTAGCGAAGGTAGCTCTGCCGGTGAATGCCGGTTGCAAGTATTGGAGGGGAGACGAAAATGGGAGGACATAGTCTGTGGTCGGTGGGTTGTTTGCCTCACGGCATGTACAGCAAATCAGGCATCTCGTTTTGACGGTGACCATGTCGTGTCGTGAGCGGCGTCCAAAAAAAAATCAACAACTTAAACTCCCTAATTCCTAAAACACCAATGCCCTAGACCCTAAATCTCGACGCAATTGAGGCCCCATACTCTTCAACATTCTTGCCTAACCATTCTGAGACTCGGGGCCTCGAGGGCTTCTGTGTGGACTCGACTTTGTGAGAGCAACATTTGCCCGGCCGGTAGCTGCGCCGGCTGTCTTTCGAAGTCTCAACTGCTCCGGAATGGTTCGGGCGGCGGTATCGTGCGAGCCGGTGCTGCGGGGAGATCGAGTTCTGAGATCATGATTGATTTTGTGTCGGGTAGTTACGTATCTTCCTTAATTTGCCGACTGGTTTAATTTTGTTTTTTCGTGTGCACGGCGGCAGAATGTTGGCCCAGTTCTGTCTTTGCCGTCGTCAGAATATTGCATCACTCTTGTGCATTGAAGATTGGACGTTATAACTTCAACAGCATTTAATTGTTCCAAGTCGCAAGCGGCGTGATTTGAGTTTCTTTTTGCGATGATCTGAATCTTGTCGCTCGGCGAGCAGCAGCGGAAACCAAGTGCCATTCTGCCAGCAGAGGTAAGTAGAAGTGGTCGTTGCGCAGCATGGTGTTTGATTTTGCGTGCCCCGCCGCTTCAAAGCTGACGAAGGGTGCAGTAGACCCTAATTGGAGGATCATGGGACTTAGTCACCAGGGCTGTTAATACCGTATCTGGGGGTATAAGCAAATACAAGTATGGTTTTATAGTTATATCGCTAGCTACATCTAAGTCCGATGATTCTCTAAGTAGACTCTGGACGATGCATAATCAAAAGACAAGAGAGGCAGACTTCGGTCATGGATATCATGTGTGCTTACCGTGTATGGTAGTCAGTGGCCAAGGCGTGTAGTCGGTAAATCACCTGTGCAGCCTGATAGACTGATAAGATGCATGATGCCGTCAGAAGAAAACCTCGCACATTCTTAATCGTTGTCCAAGACCTTGCAGCAAGCTTGCACGAGAGCTACTTGTAATGTAGGTTTGTCGAGCAAGATGGCTTAGCAGATCATGTTGAAGCTGTGGCTATCGATGTTCTTCTTCTGGGTAGTGGTGCGGAGTAGGCGTCTGCGGTTTGGCAGGCGGCTGGGCAGCTCAAGCACATGCGTGAATGTTCCCGTTCCTGTTCAGGCACTCTACACAAGTAATGTTCTCGAGGCATTGTGCGAGGCGCAAGGGGCATTAGCTGCAGGACTGCGTGCGGCAGTGCAAGCTGCAGGCGGCAGACAGGGCCGATCTGCAGGACAACTTTGGACAGAAGTGTCAGATTGTCTGCATGGCAACGTGATCGGGTTCATGATCGTGGAACCCACTAGCATTGGTCAGCCGTGGCAGTCTTTTCATGGAGAGTGCCAAGATTTGCGAGATTTTTGGATGTTCACAAAGTACCATGAGAGCCCGTTGCTATTTAGCAAAGTGATCCGTGTGGGGCTCGGGACAAAGGGGTTGACCGTGCAGGCCGAAGGGGAGCACATGTCGCGACATGCCAAGAACTTGTTCTTTCAAGTTTCCAATGAGAGTTTTGAGAAGCTGCTGAGAGAATATCCCGGAGCTGCAGATGTGGCAACGAACATAGCAGTCTACCTGCCATGCCCTCATGCCCTTCTTATGCTGGAAGGCAAGTGGTCGTTCTGCTGCTTCCCGAGGATAGTGAAAGGGAAAAACTGTGGAGCTTTTCTGCAAGGCCGGGAGTTTTTGCAGGCTTCCGAACTCCCCGAGCCTGATCTCAGCTTGAGCGTCGCTTCAATGGCCCGTCGGAACAAGGACTGGGTGATGAACCCTGGTAGCTTGCTGACATTCGGTCGCACCATCGGGGAACTTCTGAGCCCCAGTTCGCAAGAGTGCATGCAGCAGAGTATCATGAAAGCCCAAGACCAGGCCTTTGTCTTGTCTAAAGTTCGTGAAGAGATGCTGATGCAGTCAGCAGTCATGACGCAGTCGTATTATGACATCCAACAGTTGCTGGAATACATGCTTGTTTCAGCTGAGTTGAAAGCATCGTCGCAGCTTCGCACCGTGCTTCAGCAATCTTTGCGGGTGACAATCCTCGACCCGTCATTGCGATCTCATTTTGAGTCTTTGTTGAATGATCCGCAGACCCGAGTGCCTTCAGCTGCGACAATTTACAGGCACCGGTTAACATTGATCATGGGTTTTCAGCGCATAAGGGCTCGAATGCTGGACGAGGTTCTAGACCGTGCTCGTGGCAGTGGCATCGTGCGGTGGTCCACCATGGACGCAAGCCCCCATAAGGGCTACGACTTTGTACTGCAAGGGCATGCAAGCATGAAAGTGGACGATTTGTGCGAAGCTTGGGCTTGTGCCATGATCCTTCTGCAAGGGACTGAGGATGAGGTCAAGGCAGAGGCTTGCCGAAGCTTCTTGCATCCCAGGCTCCAGCTTGTTCCTGGGATTCCCACAGCTGTGGGGTCGGGTCGAGCGTCCGTGGCTCACAAAATCAAGGCTGCGGCACATTCTGAGCGATTGGGGGCCAACTCATGGGCTCAAGTGGCCGTGCTCATGAATTCCACTTTCACGCGCACCGGTGACTTAGGGACCGAGAGTCGCGTTGTTGGTTGGACAGGGAGTCTTGAG